AAAAAAAAAAACGTTATCAGAAACACTGGAATGAACACTTGGAGAAATGACAACCGATAAAAATAAAAATAAAACTCGGCAAAATCCCAACGAAACCAACGCAAAATAAAAACCCCGGCAGGCCCCCAAAACGCGACGTCACCGCGCGCGAAAACAACGCCAAGATTCAAATCACACCCAGACACCAAAAAAAAAAAAAGAAACAACTCGCCGTCGCCACCGTCCTTACCGAGACCCCGCCCGAGGTCACCACGCACCGCCCGTTTTTTTTTTTTTTTTTCTGGCCTCGCCCTTCCGAAATCACGACCGCAAAGTTCCCCTAAGCCGTCCGGAAACAACCTACAACACGATGGGGCGGACGAGAAAACCCACCGCACGAGGCCAAGAAGGGACGGACCGCCACGCTTTTTGTTTTTCTCCGGCGGCGGACCCCCCGACCGCATTCCAGATTCCGGGGAACACGCCGCCCAAACGTTCGGACAAACCCCGAAAAAAATATAGCGACGGCAGCCCCGCAAGCCGGCGAGGACGCGCAACCAGAGGCCCCCAGACAAGGACCCGGAAGTGTGGCCGAACAAAACCCCCGACGGCCAAAAGTTTTTCGCGCGGCGTTTGCCTCGGGGTCGCGCCCACTTTTTTATCGAAACCGCCGGGGTATCGCAATAGGGCAAAAATCCATGATCCGGGCCCCGCTTCTCAGAACAAGAAGGCCGGAAAGAAGCAAACAGAAGCAATGCCATTTTATCGCGTTGGACGCCCCATTCCCCCAAAAAGCATATATATCCCCTTCTAGACCCCAATAAATGCCAGAACTGACGAAATAGAAGTGCTGGGAAACCCTTTTAACCCGCTTCCCCGCTTTCCCCATCGCAAGTTCCACCACTTCGCAACGTCCAATTTTTTGAGGGTTTTCCTTTAGATACCCGTCCGCGGTAAAGCCCTCCGATGCGACGTAACTGCGAGGAACTCATATTCCGTGCGAGCGCGAACTCTACGGCCTTGGCTTTCGCCCCCCACGGCTGTGACTATGCGAATATCCGAGGGGCCAGTCAATCAGACGTATTTTAAAACCGTGTAATGCGAGATAAACGGCACGCATCTCCGCTAGGGGTATCATGTGTGGGGTGAATGCGCCCATACACCACCTGCCGCCAAAACTTTCCCTGAATCCCTGAATAACAACGCTCTCCGCCCGTACATGGATGTGGCCGTTACTAGCGTGGCGATGGGTGGCAGCTGCTGAGGTGGGTGAACTGTCTCGTTTTCTAAAAATGTTTTTGGCCAATTGTGCCCAATGGCCCTTGTATTTGATGGTAAATTTGCCTGATCTTGTGGCCATAAAAAACCTCAATTTAAACATGACAATCGTCGACGCACTATTTTGAAGAAGAAATAATAAGGGAAAACAGATTCACCCCACACTCCTGTCGCGCATATCGTGCGCGAAACTTTACCCTCCAATTCTTCAACTGTTGAGTGTTCCAATAAAAATGCTTCTTGTAACCTCTTTATTCTCTTTTAGTTTAGGGAAACCGTGTTTTCCTTATGGTTAAAGTGTACTCCTATGAAATCATATTCCTTTCTTTGAAAGTTTTTGTCATCCGCCATTCCTTTTACGATTGCTTTGACGCACCGTGCGCCTTCTTCACCGATTGCCGAGTGCCTCGTGGCCCTGTTTGGATCGCCCCCGAATATCTTGGGAAAGGACTCCCCAATCCACTATTATGGCGTTTAAATCCCTACTCTTCGGTGCAAAATTTTCTCTCTGAAGTTTTTCTATTTCTCCCCAACGGTTGGCTGTAACCCAACCCAGTCGTAAAGCCAATCGATCCTTTTCCCCTGGCAGAATATCACTGGCCATGTCCGACCCCTATCTCAAGATGGGGCTTTCTTCTTTTATGTGGTGTCTGCAGCCGTTGGCTTTTCCAGCCCACCAGAAACATTTGAGTTGGCGCCCCCCTTGGTGCCATCATGGCGGTCGTTGTTCGCGTATATTGTAACGCGCTGTTTTTTTTATTTTTTTTGAAATTTCAAACTCATGATAAATAACGGAATATCTTCTTCCTGAATCTGTAAATTGTTCTGCACTGCAAACGCGATGGATCCTCTCATTGTTGCGGCTCGCTGTTCCCATACTGTTGAGGTCCACATGCGTTTTGCGATGCGGTTGGCCTCTGAAAACGACGCCGCGATGTACGGATCGTTTAGGCAGCGCAGGTATCATAGTAAAATTGTTAACTGTTGCCACCCCGAGGGGAAAGTGTTATCGATGGGAAAGCTCCCGAAATTTGTTGTTGTCGTTCGTTTTGCTTTCGCTTTTGCGTTTCCCACCAGACAATGGTTTCCAAAATGACCGGCCCGCGGGTTGTATCCACCGATTTTTCCCAGAACCAAACTTTCCAATTTTTCCCATTCCACAAAGCGAAAGGCACATTATAAATGGGCAAATCGTCATTTGGTTTAGCCCGAAAGATGAATGGGAAAGGGCTTCCCCAAGCGGCCCCCGGGTTGTATTTTTTTTTTTTTTTTTGCGGAACCCCGGTGGCCATATAAAGTTCAGAAGAGGGAGGAAGTATTCCCGAAGGAAATCATTTACACTTTTGATGGCGGAATTGGGTGTCCCCAGAACTTCCCCGCCGCACCGTTTTGGGCGGACGGGCCCCCAAACCCAACCCACCGCCGGATCAATCGACCCCAGCTTTCAAAAACACGGGGGCCAACCTCCAATCTTGAACCCATTCACGCCCCGAAAGGGTAAAAGGTTGGACGCGTGTAAACCGCCTTTTGGGGCGTTAGCTGAGCAAGAAATTTTGCAACATTCAAACAAGCAAATGAAATCCCGGGAAAAGGATTTATGACATTCACAGGGCCAGTGGGGAACTGCAAAAAAATGGAAGGAAAATTTGCGGCAAAGATACCCAAAAATTTAAAGAACCGCGCCGGACCCGCTCTCCCTCCAGAAAAAGATCGGCGTTATGAATGCGGCGGTTTGTTTTGGCATTGTGGCGTGGTGGTTCATGAAAATTAACCAAAAGCAACATCTACACTCACAAAAAAGAAAAAAATGAAACGGCAGGCATGTGCAAAAGAAGAATTCTTTGGAAGTAGCGCACCGTGGCGCTGTGGTCGGGGCAAGGTCTGTGCGGGGTCCCAGCGGCAATAAAAAAACAACCCAACGCCTAAAGAGAAACGGCCTATACCACCCACGTGGACCTCAGCATTCCGCAATACCAGCTGAACCAAGCAATGGGGAGGGCTTTCAGTTCACAATGGACGCGTGGCACAAGACAGCGTATAACACTATTACTGTTGTACTCCGTTTTGGTGTTCTGGCAAGCGGTATCTGCTTTACCTTTTTTGCGCCAACTTAAACTCCATACATTAAAGCGTTTGTGCGGGGAACTGCCGCTTAGCAAAACCATTTTGAATATGCCAAAGTGGAAACAAATAGGTTTCATAAAAAGATTCTCCAGGTTATCAACCTGGCGCGAAAATGAGAGACTTTGGGAAATTGTTTCCCATTCCGGGTCCCACGTTTTCAGATGATAAAAGGCAGCGTGCTCCAGCGCACTTGGAAACTCTCAACTGTATTGGGTGCAAGGCGTGCGTCGATAGGGATGTTTTTAGACAGCCGAGAAACGGCAGTGGCCACTCATTTTGCCGAACAATGTCGCTCGTTTTCCGGATGGGGCGATGAATGAAAAAAGCCCGAAACGCACCCCCAGAGCGCGACCGAGTGAAATTGAAAATTGTCTGGGCTACTTCTGGCAGAAGGGATGGGGTTTGCCAAGCGTCGGTGGAAAGAAGCCGCCTCCTGCCCACAGGTGGTGTCGTTCTGTCGGGTTTCGTGCCCACGCCCGAAAAAAAGAGGTTCAAAAGGGTCCCGCGCAGGATAGCGAGGAACGCCCCCAACGGAGGAGGGAAATGGACATTTTCGGTGAAGGCGGCCGGAAAAGAGATGAAGAAAAAGAAAAAGATGAACACATCAACCGGGAAAAACGCTTAACATGTTTAGTGCCCGCGGGAAATGGCGTCGCCACCCGTTAAAAGAGGAACCTTTGGCTTTCGAAGCGGCAGCGGCGCTTGTTGAAAGCGTTTCCGAACCCGGTTGAAAAGACCACTGAGCAATCGCGCGGTTCATCGGGAAACTTTGTCGCAGTGTAAAGCGTCCCCTGGGTCATTTAAAAGGGATCGCAAAAAGTTCGGAGAAGTTAGCATCATCCATTTTAGCAGACCATGGCGGGGCAACTCTCTAACTTGGGCTTACCCTGAGCATAAAAATGAAGGAAATTTCCAATCTTTCTAAAAGGTATAGCATTCTTTGATGCGCATAATGTTCCAACTGCCCCACGAATAGACAAAAGGGGAAAAAATAAAAACACTTTCCCCAAGACTAGGCGGATATGCCAACGCGCAAATTGTTTACAAAATGGGTTTGGAAACGAACCACCACGAGAGAAACCGACAAAAAAGGCTCGTGAAGGATTTGACGCAGCGCGGAAATCACGCGATTGCCATCCATACCGAATCGTGGATAAAAAAAAACCGTATTTGAGAATTTTCTGGAGAACGATTCGTTTCTTCTAAAGGCTGGACGGGGCGGGTGTTTTTTTTTTTTTTCACGGCTTCGTTTTGGACGGCAATGGTTTTTTAAAAAAAATTCCTCTAGCGCATGGAGAAGAGAAATGAAGAAGTTTGATATCTCCGGTGTGGTATAGTGGCTAGAACAAGCGGCTCTCACCCGCTAGACCCGGGTTCGATCCCCGGCATCGGAATTTTCTACTTAAAATATTAAAGCAATTTTTATTGGTTTTTTTCAAAAGATCTCTTTTCTTCCCCATCCTTTGGAATGCTAAGGGAGAACATTCTTTATTTTTTTTTTTATTTTTTAGAAATCTCAGTGGAGGTTTAGCTGCGATATCGGGAAGCATTAGGAGCACCGGTGATCTTATGGGGCATAAATCTATTTCAGGATGCCCTTCGCTCATCCCAAACAGATTTTAGTGGTTTCACCCGCGCCACGTTGCAGCTAAACGTTAGTGTGGGGAAAAACACGTCCCTTCCCCAAGAGAACTATACATTAAAACGCCGTCAGATTCACTATGACCGCGATGTTCGCTCTCTACGAAACCCTTCTTGATAAGAATATGGGATTTAGCCTTCTTGACGAGAGGAAAGGATCCTTTGCCGAAATGTCAAATTTCACCATTGCTGTTCGCCGGTATCGTGGCTATAGATGGCATTCCCACGTAACAAGAAACACAAGTGAGATTCATCGCTACCACCGCTGTGTGAGAAGAACCGAGAGAAAGTTCAATGCGGAGTCTGCCAGAAGTTCTATGCCCACCTGGACTCCCTCGTCGTTCGCTGCAGAAAATTCCGTGATGGAGAGGGTATGACAACAAAAATCGAATTCCACCAATGCACGATACAAGAAAACGAAAACAAGAGACCTTCCGGCATTAGTCTGTCCCTCATGTGGTCGTCATTGTGTATGAGTAAATCAGGCCAAACTCTACACCGAATGTCACGACACGGGTATCAACCTACTCGCGCGCACACCAAACAACGCGACGAATGCGAAGAAACAGCTCTGCATCTCTTGAGTTGCCCCGCTCTTCATCCACTGCGAGTTCAATTTGCGATCGTTGATGATGTACCCCTGATGAAACTATGTTTTTCTAAGCGGTTAGCAAAATTCCTTATTGCGGCGGAGCGGAACTACGCTATGCCACAGTCTTCCCACCTGGAAACCCCACGTCCCTTTCCTTACCCCAGCAAGCCTCCCCCGCACATTAGAACTGGCAATGCACTCGATTATGGAAGAACCTATAAAATCGTACGTAAGAGCGGTTCGTCCCTGAGCAAAGAAGCAACAAAATAAATAGGAATTCATTGGGGTCAATTAAATACAAAAAAGCAAACCTGAGGACGGGTTTTGGAAAGCAAAGGTGGGAGTAGAGTTTTCTCACAAAATGGTTCTCTTGTATGGGAACGGCTATAAAATAAAAACAAAACAAAACTGTAAACTAATAAAAAAAAAACACAAAAACAAGAAAATAAAAACTACAGGAGTCTGGAGACCCAATAAAAGAAAGGGATCTTATTTTACACACCGCTCTAAATGGAGAGTAACTGCGGTGCTCTAAGTTTGTAGTGTCTTGAGAAATCTGTGTATAACCCAAAAAGAGAGGAGGAATAAAAAAAAAAAAAAATTCATAGCCAGGATCCAAAAATGAACAAGAAAATCACAAAGCCGAAGTCCCTTCAGGTAACATTTGGCACCACCTTAACGAACCAAATGAAGAAACTCTGGCTTATTTGACCTTAAGGAATCCTTTGCCCATCTTGATATTGCAGTAGCTCTAAGGCCCAGTTTCCATTGAAAAACAGAATTGGACTGGGTTGCCGAGCCCGCACGTGTTCGTATCAGGTATTCTTGTTCTCCAGAAATCCATTCATGTCATCCCAAATTACTTCCGGATTGACGTTGAATAGGTACTACATTGGAGTTGCGATGCCTCCTGATTTTGGAATTCTTCTTTGGATCGACAACATCCTCTTAATTTTTAGGTAGTAAGAAATTGTAGATGAATAGACCAAATAAATTACACGGAATGCGCAGAAGCCAGGCCCACAATGAGAGAAGAGCAGTAAAAAAAACAGAAGAATTTGACTTCATAAGTGTAAACTATATCCAGAAGAAGAAGAGGGTTTCTTTGATTGAAAGTGCAATGTGGTATTTTCGTGGGGGACATAACTTCAGAACGCCTGGGTCGAATAAATGGAAATTGCACATTCACACATGATGCGTGCAGATAGGCTTTGTCTCTGTGTGTGTCAGAAATCTCCTTTTCCATATTATTTCTTTTTTGAAATCATTGCAATTAGTACCTTATACTCGTAATAGAGCTTTTTCATCCTCGGGATGAGACCTGTTTTTTTTTTTTTTTTTTTTTTTTTTTTTTTTTTTTTTTTTTTTTTTTTTTTTTTTTTTTTTTTTTTTGGCAGACGTCTCCGAAGCGGGGCGGAAGCAACTTCCGAATTTATTGGAAAATGAGTCTGTTATAACTTGTGAAAAAAAGTTACCAAGCTTTTCCAGAGCGGAGTCGATGACGCATAAGCGGTGGGGACCCGCACGGTTTCTCATGTATAGGCGTGCACCTTTTATCTGCTGTTCCCGGCTTTTTGAGGGAAGTTATAACACCTTGTCGTTCCTAAACTTCGATCATTCCATAGTTTAGAATCCAATGACAAAAGACAAGATGACATTATACAGTTTCAGAGAAGAACGTGGGATATATTTCTTTTCGAGAAGGAATTTTATTAAACAAAGAGATTTAACGAAGAGTTGGAACTCGCAAAAGTGAAACGAGGAAAAAAAGGTTAAAAAACGCTCTTAAGACCCACTTTTTCGGCATGCAACGAACGTTTTGTACTGAACGGGGAAGTTGGAGAGTCACTAACAGATTTGTTGTTTAACACTTTATGGCAATGATTAGTCAGAGATTTGCTGATAAATAATTCTTCCAACTTCTTTGCTTTTTTGAGTAAAGTAAGGTACCGATTATTCTTACAATTTAATTTCCAAAGCCATATTCAAGAGAATTGCACTATAACAATGGCGTTCGGTAAGCCGCAACCCCGTCAAGGGAAAAGAAGCCCCCCAAACAGCTAGCAAGAGCCGGCCGGTAAAAAGTTCATGGTGTAGGCAACGAGAATCGGATATACCCTACAGAAGTATTTTGTTTCCAACATACTCTTTGGCGAACTCTGGTATGCCAATGGGACGTGGCGGCTCCAAAAAACAAAAAAAAAAAAAAAAACGCGCGGAATAAAAACGCAGCCCGCCACACACGCCACCACCACCCCTGAGGAAAGGCCGAAAACTTTTGAAGGAACAAGGGGAAAACAGCGACCCCACCAATCCGGAAAGAATGATCTGGCGAACGGCAATCCCGAATACCTTTAGATAACGTTATGGTCCCGATTTTCTTTTCTGGGGTTCTTTGGGGAACACCTCTATAAGAAGGCTTTTTTTTTTGCAGAGTTGTGGGCTGCCAAAGGTTTTTATTATTACACAAAAGTGGCTATTCATTATGTTTATCATGTGCGCAAATAAGTTGCTACTCGGAAAAAAAGTCTGGGTTCGCTTTCTTTTAAATTTGATATTAAGTAGAACATCCCAGCTCTTTGTTTGGCATAACGGTTTTGGTGGCCTTTCCCAAGGGCCACACTCTGCTGTAAAAGCCTCCCTTGTTTCCTATTTTGTTTTTTCCCCTTTAGTTAAATTATTTCTAGCTGAAGTCTAATGAAAAAAAAAAAAAGAAATACATTTGGGTATCTATTGCTTTTTCTGGCGCTTGAAACCTAGCGATTGGGAAACCCGTTTTTACCTACCAAAAACCCTTTTGCACCAATTACATGCCCGTAGCCCTGGGCAGCACAAATTCCCCTATCCCACGCATCTCTCTTTCCCATGGGCTCCGCCTTTTTTTTTGGAGTGCCAACGCGCACCTTGCAGCGGAAACCGAACCACATGCCAGAATACATGTTGATCAGCAAAGCTTTTCCTTTTTCAAAGTGAGGAACCGTCCTTGCCACAGCAGCGGGCGCTGGAACAAACTTCGGAAGTGGGCAGTGCGGGAAGAATGGCCTCAAGGAAGTATAGGGGATGAACCTGACCTATTATTGCGGGGAAAACCGAGCGCAGCAGATGGCAGAGAAGCCGGGCACGCTAACATTTGCACGGCCTTCAATGGCAGTCGGGGTTTTTGTTACCCCATTTGGCTCGGGCCAAAATGCAATATGCTGTCGCGCAAGATAATAGAGATTCCATTTTAATTCTCCGGGGTGGGGCAAACCCATTTCCTTCGGTTGTCGCCCTAGCTGGGGCGCGTTAAAAAGAAATCCTCTCAAACACCCACTGTCCGGGACCGGCGGTGTCTCAGTTCAGGTTTTGTTATTATTGGCGGGTTTGACAACCACACCCAAAGGGCCAAGAAAGCCCAGCGACACAGAAAAAAATATGAATGGTAGATTTCCGCAGATTAACCTTCAACACATCTCGTTTCAGGAAAGAAAGGCCGCTGGGTCTTTTTCACCAACCCGTCTTGGCGTGCAAATTTGAATTTCCTGAATGAAGAAAAAAAACTTAGAGGGTAATGGAAGAGAGAGAGGGAAAGAGAGGAAATTACGACCCACCATTGGCCGCCAAGAACAGAAGGTGGGGTCGACGGGCCTTTCTTTTTTATCACCAATAGTTCCCGGCGAAAAGAGTAATCTTTGGTAGAAAAATGGGAATGCTTTTTCCGAAGCGAGCCGCTCAGTAGAGAATAGGTGTAATCCCGCTTCAGGGTTGGGTTCCTTATGGGAGCAAAAACATCTTCATTCTTACAGTTATGTTGTCAAATATTTCCCATTACGATGCGTAAGCGCGATTATTTCAAAAAAATACACGTGCACATATATAGTGGTAATATCTCCTTTGCGCCGAACGCCGGGGGAAAAGAGGTAAAGCGCAAAGGTAATAAATATTCACCAAAGGCGACACAATTCCAGCCACTAAATGGATAATGGCTCTAAAAAGAAAAAAAGTAAAGATTTTTGAACCTGGCTTTAAAGTAACACTTAAGAAGGTGTACCACAAAAATATAACCCTTTCCATGATTCCAGGATGCCCTTTTGTTGGCGTAAACCGACCCGCATCGGTCTCGGAACGGCAAACTACCAGAAGTAAAGGAAACGGAGCGAAAACACCTTACTCATTACACTGCTGATGGCCAAGGGTGGAAGGTAGAAACACGATTCATAAGCTTACAAGACTAATGTTTATGTTTCACCGCACGGAAGATTAATACTGCGGTGTGGACCTCGTGGCTTTTAGCTTTGAAAATCCGCGAAGGGTAGCGACCGTCGTCAGTTTTTTTTTTTATCCCAACGAATTTTCCATATGTATTTTGGTTTTTCTAAGGGTCTAACAACAAACGTTAATTACCGATAAATAGAATATCTAGCCAATGTTGGTGAAGGAAAGTTGGGTCATTTCCCCGTTTCAAAGCTCAGGAGAATAGAATATGAATTGCCCATCGGATTTTTTTGGTGGTAATTTCAGGAAAACGTATGGAAAGAAGAAATTTTCTTTTTCTTCTTTTTATCTTTTTTTTTTGTTCCTCGCATCTTTAAGGATGTTGGTCATATGGCACGGGTCGTCAACAGCAGTTAATATATAAATTATTGTTATTCTTTATTGTAATTATTACTGTTATGCAAAGGAAGTCGTCAGTACCTGGGTTGTTCTTGTTCTTGTTACCGCTGCTTCCCCCGGACAAAAAAACTTCGAATTGAAGAAATAGTGGCGATAGAAAACGCCATGTTATCTTATTGCGAAGCAAGAAATGTGAGTATAAAGAAAAAAA